AAAAAACAAAACAAATAGTTTCCTGATAGTGGTGTCTACTGATCATGAAAATTGTATCGGTCGGTTAGTGGAAAGTATTGTTGAATATGTAGCATGACGGTAACAAAAGTAGATATTGTCCTTTTTGGGTTTGTCCGAAGACTGTAACGAAAGTAGATATTATCCTCTTTGAGTTTTTGGTCTATCGAGAATTGTTGGGAGGGAGTCCGCTAATTCAAGGAATGATCATGGATTTATAAGTAAGGAAATACATTGAGCGTTTTGGGTAAGCCCAAAACAAAAACATAAGAGCTTATGTTCAAAGTAGACAATATCATACCATTTTACTCTTAAACACTATATTGTAATATTACAATTTATGTTGGTAGAACAACAAATTTTTCGTAGAGAATTTCCGCCCCAATCTCTAAAAAAATTGAAAATTTGAAAATTTTCATAATCGTTCCACCTGCACACATCTCTAGTAATAGTTAATTCAGAATAATATAATTTGACAACAAGTAGAAAGCTTTTGACTTTGAATTTGGTATCTTTAAAAGACAAAATAAGCTTAAAGATGTTTCAATTCATACCCATGCATTTATGAACTTGCACGTCATATTGGATGGTCTTCTTTCGTTACGAAAACAACCATATAATCGTACATTCATTAAAACGGAAACAACTCTATGTAATACAAGAAATAACAATTTCTCTAAAAATAAAACGATATTATAAGAGGTTCGAATACGTAAAATCTTGATATGATATGTCATAATAAATGATTAATCAATCCCGACCTCTAATCTATCGTTTACCTAAATTTAATTAAATCACTAGGGAGGAGGGATATTCGTCAAAAGCACATGGACGGCTATCAACAACGTGTGGCTCTACGATTCTTGGGTGTTGGTTGGTAGTTAACCCATTTGTTGAGGATTTCTAGCCATGCTCACATGACTCTTAATTGTGTGTTTGAAAAAATTACATTAGATCATCCTTAAATTTGGTCAATGCAGCGCGGAGTAGAGATACTGAGGTTTTACCTTTAGACATTCAATAAGCTCTCACCTTACTACTTACGAAAGACACTTCTCGAAAAGTGTAGACTCTGATGTGATTGGATTTGCTGTTCACTATGACATCAGAGGAGTAAGGCACCATCCACTGTGCACCAATACCGAAGGCTTAGTGGAACTTCCTTCGGTTACTGTATCATCCGCTGGGTGAATCCTATTACAGGGCTAGTCGGGAAACAGCTTATTAAGTCTTGCTCTACAATTAGTTTGACTCGAGTTTGGTTATGAATTTATTTAGATTGGGTTCGATTGGATTCAAATAAATGAACATTTTATAAGTTGAGGTGTTTTGTGGATTCCCGAAAAACAAAATTAGGTTCAACAAGACCCATTTGAATTTATTTTTATAATTTGAAATGAATGTATATAAAATTTTATTTTCCGATAGTAACCGAGAAAGAAAAAGAGAATCAAATTATTTCTATAGTAAAACAAGGTTAAATAAGTAATTTATCTCTAAATTCTAAGAAATCGTAGACGTGACGGTTTAAAAAGAAAATTATGTTACGTAAAAACATAATCTGAAATCGCTTTAAATTTTAGATCAATTTCGATAACATAAAATTAGATTCAATTAATGAATAACATGATACATGGAAAATTTAGGTATGGGAAAAGATACCTAAAAAGGAAAAGAGATTTAAAATTGGTTCCAAAAAGACGTATTCGAAAGCGTTTTTAACATAATCAGATAGAATAGCGCCTAGAGATATAGGTATGTTTCCTTACGTTACTTATCCAAACGTCTTGTCGTCTCGTCGAAAATGCCTACTCTGATTTTGATGAGGTTAAGAATCATTTGGGTTAAATAATCCAAATATTTTAATTTTCTTTTTTCCTCTTATACCCTAATTACAAATATATATATATATAAATTGAACTTTTGTTATTTATATCTCAAAATTAGGTAAATATTTGAATGAATTAAATTCTTAAAAAATCAAAATTTTTAAATTTGGTGAGAATTCAAATATGTTTTTAAAAAAATTGAGAAAACTACACAAATTTTAAATATCGAAAACTGAAAATTAAAGGATTATTCAAATTCTTTTAAATATCAATAACGGAAATAAAATTATATTAAAATAAGTAAATAAATTGAAAATTAAAAAGAAATAATAAGTTAGATTAAATTAAAAATTTAGTAGTCCCAGTTTTCAATATTAAAATTCAATTATTGAAAAATTGATTAGATATAAAATTGAAAGTTTAAATTATAGTAAAAAATAAAAATTAATTACACGTAATTGACTAATTATTTTTTTAATAAAAATTTTGAAATAGATCTATTAAATATAAAATTAAAAGTCCGCGACCTATTAAATAATATTAAAAAAATGTTTATATTAAAAAATACTCGAATCAATTATAATATTTTTGTCGTATTTTAACCAAATTAAAAAATCACAAAATTAGTTAGTTGCTTGTCCGAGTAAATTAATGTTATAATGTTCTACTAATATAATCTTTAAAGATTAAATTTTAATATTATCGTATAGTTTTAAAAAAAAAAAATTATATATTTTAATATTATTGGAGTTCTAAAAAAATTATATATTTATATGGGTGAGATGGAATAAATAGATATCTATATCCATCTCAAACACAATTATTAATTTTTTATATATAAAACGTTTTGAATATTTATAGTTTATATATCAAAATTAATGTTATGAACTTATTAATTTAATCATAATATAAAAAAACAAATGTTTTCTTCTACTGATGCACAAAGTTCAATTTAATTGTTTATGATAAAATGGATTAATAATGGATTTTGGATGATTTAAACCCATCGATTGATTAAGTATGATTAGTCGCTCGAAAACTAGGTTAAAAACTAAGGGACAAGCTGATCAAATTAACTAGGAATTTTAGTTCATTCGAGAAGGATAGGGAAAAGATTTGTGGAACAAATTTAAAGGAGGAACTGTCGAGGAAGTTTAAAGAATCTTGTTGGAATATGGGTAAATTCTTTTGGGTTTTTGTTCGGTTTTTCTTTCGAGTGATATCCTCGAATCCAAAGTTGTTAGGTTGCGATTTTTTGAGGGATAAAGGTTCACATATCATCGTAGTAGTTGACAAAGGCACATTGGTCACTTCCACTATTAATATACAATATAGAGACTATTAAATAGTTGAGTTAGTCTTTAACGATGAATTATATCTGGTTTGGATGATGTATAGTCATAGGACTGTTATAGTAAATCACGTGGGAGCTACTCTTATGACTACCCGTAATAAGGGAATAGTGATCTGCACAATATCAAAATAGTTGGTAGGCACAAGAGCTGCCCCAACGTGACTATATAGGAAATACTAAAGATCCGTCAACTAATGCGTAGTAGTGAACTATCCTGCAAGATAAGATCCATACATACCCTAGATCTAAATTATTCAAAGGGTTGTATTTTACCTATTATTGTGAAAACGCTCAAAAAAGTTTAAGTCACGTCATATCGATGATTTAAAGGTGCTTACAAGAGTGTAACGAATCGGATGAAATAGAAGTAAGGCCCTAGGATGGGGAGGGAGTATAAAAGTTCATATAGGTTGTGAGGTCCATTCAAGTTATGCATTCTAGCCCAAAAAGGCCCATTTCCTCAATTGTACACTTGTCCTTCAACCTCGGTGACTTCCCCTCAAAGTTTTTTAAAATGTCTTTGGTAAGGGAGGTTTCTATAGTCTTATAAATAATGTTTCGTTTCCCTCTCCAACCATGTGATCTCACAATCCATCTCTTTTCGAGGCCTAGCATCTTCGCTGGCACTCGTTTCTCTCTCTAATCGATGTAGGATTTAACAATTCACCCCTTTCGGGGTCCAACGTCCTTACTAGCACTCGTCCCTCTCTCCAATCGATGTAGGGTCTCACAATTCACCTTTTTCAGGGTCCAACGTCCATGCTGGCATTTACTCCTCTCTCCAATCGATATACGATATCACAATTCACCCCATTCAAGATCTAGCATCCTCGCTGGCACACCACCCGGTGTCCACCACCTTCAAGACCAGCGTTCTCGCTAGCACATCGTCTAGAGTCCACAGTTTCAACGTTCTCGTTGGCACACCTCCCAGTGTCCATCCCTCTTCAAGGCTCAGCGTCTTCACTAGCACATCATCAGTGTCACCAGGAGACACTCAGAAGAAAAAACCTAAAGAGGACAATATCTCTTAGCTATGCACTTAGACTATTACATATGCATTCAACAATGAATGAGATTTGAAACCTAACCCTAAACCCTAAACAAGCTTTCTCCATTCCATTCTCAAATATCTTATTTTAAGAGATCTTACTAATATTTTAAACAAAATCTTAAAAAAAAAAAAAAAAAAAAAAA